AGACAGTCTAATTTGCATACTATTAACACAAATATCTATGCAAAGTAACAAAATATGTTATAGGCCAGTCGCACAAAAAGTTGGAGAGTGGGCCACCCATACAAAGCCAATTCCACTGGCCGAGATTCATTCACTAATGAATGCGACTTAGGGGGAACCTTGATTAAGGTCTGCAGGTGCTTGTGTTCGACCGAGCCTGGTTGACAGAAGGATAGCGCATTAAATTGCCATTTGATAGAGAGATGGCCGCACAGCCCTGTCATGTGTGTAGTCCCAAAACATGAATATGGCTTCTGTGGCAAATGCACTATATGTCAGCACTTGCAACTTGCACATACAAAAAAAAGTCAGGAGAGACAACAGTGACATTTAATGTCCAAAACTGTCGCCGGGCACAACAAATTTTAAAAAAAAAGGAGAAGCTTTTATTGGAAAACATTCAATGAAAACATGTCTCAGGTAATGTACACAAGCAGAATTTGATCTGTGACAGAGTCAGGCACTTTCGATTTCCAAACCCAATTCAATAATTACAACCACTGTTGAGATTCTTACCATTTATTAATACTTTAACACTGATCTCAGCAGAATGGCTCTTCAATTACCAGCCTCCAATGAAATATCAGCAACATGTAGTAGCAAATCTTCTGGTCTTCTTCCTAGATTCACTCTAGCATGTGATATGTTTGCTGGAAATATAAACAGAAAGGAGTTAATGAAATGAGATTGAATTGCATCCTTGGAAATCTATGTATACGATTAAGAGAAAATCAGACTTACGTTGTGGGTGCAACTTACATGCAGGCTAAAATATTTGCTCTCTTAAGGTAGTAGCACACTCACTTACATAATTGACAGAGGTGTATCTATGGTCAAAATAAGTCATATTTTAATGATGTGGTATACAATAAATGTATTTTTTTTATGTGCATTAATAATATTGAGTAATTATAAATTTCAAAATGCAAGCTTTCCCAACTTGATGGTTTTAAGATGTAGAATGTTTTTTGTTACAGTATGTGCATCAAACTGTATATCACTGATATAAAGGGTAAGGTACCGATGTTTTACTATCGTGCCTGTTTGAGAAAGTTTGAGAAAATTTACATTTTTTTCAAGTATTTACAAAAGGAAATCGGCTCACATGACTGACAGTTATATTTCTCATGTGACTGAATGTCATTTCCCCAAATAGTGCCAAGTAGGTATCAGGACGGAACTTGCAATAACCCTGATACCCTAGATCATTTTACTGTAGTAAGTGATTAAAGCAGGGGAGTCGTCACCTACGCATGCGTCATATGGCCATAGCGTGTCATTGTTTACAAACAAGTGTTTACCCATGAGCCTTTGCGTTTTTTGTGTGGGTTGTTATCATCGCTTGGGACTCAATTCCCGCATGTGCGCAGGTGACGACCCTCTCGCTTTAATTACTTTCACAGATCAGGAATTGAAATTTTTACTGCAACAGGGATTATGATAAAACACTTCAAATACGCGATCAGAATTTCCTACACAAAAAACAGACATTTATAGTTTTATTGCATGCAATAGAAAAAATGTTTTATAAGTTTATAATCACTGTTATGCAATGTCAAAAACTGACATTGACCACACTTTGCTCACTTTTTGGGACAAGTCAATAGCAACAGGTCATACAATAGAAAACTGAAACCTGTCAACCATTTTGAATCAGAACTCAATATGATCAATCTGGTTCCAGAATTGTTGAAATTGTCAGCACAAAAATGGCCACCATTCTTGTATCAAATCAAGAAACAAATGAATGTGTACATGTATTCCAAGTTGCATGACGTATGTGGGAAGTTTGAAAGTGATTTGTCCAAGCATGTTCAAGATAATGTGAGGACATACAGATGCACACACCAAGGTCAAGATCTTGATTTTGGTCTGCATCTGAATTGGGATAGCAGATAGCTGACATTAAACTATGACATGTGCATTCAGTATGGGTACAGACAATGTTGAGCTCTCAAGTGAAGCACAATTGCATATATAAATTTGAATGAATGCTCAGGACCAGTATGTACAACTAACTCATTAATATTAATTTTTATACTCTCCATGTCATAACATCTTCTTCGGATGGGCCATAGTAATGATCATGGCACAGTTATACTTATTTACTGATAACTTGTAAGTTACATGCAAGGTTTATGTATATTTATTTGCCAATTACAAATGAGATATAGGTAAATAAATAAATATAAATATGTTGTTATTGTTAATGTACAAACCTCCATGGCCGAAACTTTCTACATGTATTTTCAAATAAAAAAAAACATACATGTCCGAATCATTCGTCTTTGAAAATGTCTGGGCTGAAACATAGGGGGGAGGGGTCGATTCGTTCCAAATAACATTCGTCCCCAGTCGTTCCAATTTATCCATCCCATTTCTCTGACAAGTCGATTGGTCCCAAAGTTGATTCGGCAGATTTAAGGTTAGCTCACAACTAACTCACCCAGTACAACAAACGCCTTTTTGTTTTTGTCAACGTTAGGTTATACTGTACTATTCGATCCATTGTAGCTGTTGGCATGGGGGATCAACTTTTTACCATGTTTAGGATAAATAGCTTATCGATTATGTTACTTTGTAAAAAAAAAAAAAAAACATTTATTGTATTTGCCTGCCAGTGGTTGTCATTCAAGGCGTTCACCGTAGATTGGATGTTACAGTTACACTGTCAGTGTTCTATATAAATGTTCTAAAACTTCTCAAAACACAATAAAGTGACACTAATGACACAGGAAATGTTTTATTAAAAATAAAAATGAGAAGAAAAAGATTGGGACGAATGTGAAGTGGGACAAATCATGGAGGTTTATACCTCCATGGACAAATTGACTGTAAATCAGAAACATCCTACAATCAGTGCCAACAAGGTCACCAATGAAAACGAGGATCTCCACATTCACAGACATGTACTCAGAACGAGAATGCATCCTGAAAGTTTTACCTCATGGTTGCTTTTTTCAGTAACCTTGCTCAACTTAACCAAAAAAAGATTCATAGTCAATTAATCAGTCAATCAATCTAAACCTAATGCGGACATACATTTATATGTATTTATTTCTTTAAAAATTGACTTAAACATTAGTTTTGGAATTGGCCAAATCATAAATCTCCACCCCAAATCTCAAACCAGGGATTACCTTCAAACCAGATTGCTGTAGAATTTTGTTTTTATGCAGGGGGTTTGTTAGCTGGAATGCAACCACATGTAATATATCCCATCAGTGACGAGCCGACGTTCTCTCCGTATTTGAACTCCCAGTAACCTGGACATGTTTGTACTTCTGGGTAAATCGAATTTGCCCGCGAAAATACTGTAATCTGCGCAATAACATAAGGATTTAATCTAGCACATAAAACACACATTTAAAAAAAAAAAAAAAAATTGGAGAATTTTAACGGATAATCTGCTGACAAGAACGTAACAGTCGGCTACTCACCGAATACGAATCAGTTATCAGCTGACTCGAATTGTTTTATGGACAAAGAAAATATATGGTCGCCGCCATTTTCACTCTGTCCCACAATTCCAGACTTACCCTGTTCATTGACCATATTTTGAAAATATTAACTATTATATTTTTGGAAGCGAAATAAAATTAGAAAAATAATTATACATTTTATAACTAATACTAATATTAATTAATAAATAGTGACTATATCATGAACTGTTTTTTTTCCTTCATTTCAAAAAGGTATTAATCGCGTAAGTAGAGCTGGGTAATTTCTCAAACAGGGTACAAGGTGAGTTAATAAAAGACACGCCGCTTCCTCTCGTCACTTGGTGAATTCAGGTACAGTTTCCGGCTACATTTTCTTTCTCACATGCCTTTAAATTCGTTTTTGGATGCATTTATTAGTAACATGCTTTTTATTAAGTTCGGTGTGTATCCATTTATTGGTTTACATACGTAACATTCCCACCATGTGTCCAAAAAAATCGGGCTCAAAGATCACGTGGTTGGCTTACATTGATCAGAAAGTCGTTTCGAAAAATCAAATGTATGACCCGGTTTGCATTGCTTGTATGGGAAATTGAATTATTTTGGCTCTAATGCATTTAAAAATCTATAGAGTGTGTATGATATTTACACCGAGAAACGTTTTTGTTGTTAATTTTGTATGTCGAGAAATTAGTGCGCGTATGTGGCTTGTATTTTGTTTGTTTCGTTTTAGCAACGCGAGGTTACATTGACCACACAACTGCGCATTTCAAGGTCCGGTTCACAGGGCGTTGACACTGTTTTGGGGTCGAAGTTGATATTATTACCCCAACGGTATTTTCATTACTTCATTTAAGATGATATAAATTACAATGGCGATGTTGCTAAAAGTTGCATGTGATTTCTGAATGCAAAATAACCATTTCCCTTCTGCCCTTGAAAATGAGTGGGCGATATATAAATATTCAAATGCACTAGTAATAACATCTGAAAATTCAGACACATGGCTTGAACTGTACTGTTTGTTCTGTGAAAGGCACTCAATATTAAGATCAAAAATGCTTTACATACACTAAATACAAATCCTGAATGAAATATTTCAACTACAAAGGTGGAGGGAGCAGCCATTCCAAAAAATTTCCCTCTTCAATTTGTATTGCCTGCCCCTCTTCTACATTTATTGTGTTGCAGAATAGCTTTATCCAGAATACTGTAAATGTAACTTTTTTGTAGTTTGATAATTTAATTTTGTGATGGTCTTAAAGTTGTCTTAAAATTAGATAACCTTTTTAAAATATTGAATGCATGTGCAAGACTCTTGATGCATTTGATGTCTGGGTTCCCATTTGTTGTGTTCTATGTATTTCTCCAAACCAATTTCTCAAACAATTTTGATCCTGATAAACTAAAAATCAGATCAGCCAGGGGTCTTTTATAGTGGGAGGGTCGTGCGGAATTGAGTCCCAAGCGATATTAACACGTGCTTAAAAAGGAAGGGCTCATGGGTAGACAGTGCTATGGCCATCTGATGAATGTGCAGACAGCTACTCCCTGGCTTTAAGTGTTTATGTCATGAACTGCAATACACAGAGTTATTTACTATTCTTTTTTTAATTTAATTGAAACAAGTTACAATCTTTTGAAATACAGATTGGTCAATATCAATATTTACGAAAGTTTGAAATCGGTGATAGAAAATGTCCTCGAAACCAAAACGGGCAATTTGTCAAAATAAACCCATAACATTTTTATTTGTGACATCAGTGGACATCAGTACTCGCCCATGCCGAAACTGTACGATACATTTACACGTTGTTTTCACACATTGTTTTGGAATTCAAAAAAATGCTAGCAATCGACAAAATAAAAGAATCTGCTATGTTCTCGAAAGATTCAACATAAAAAATCGATAAATTGAAAAAAGTATGTGGAAAAGATAACTAAAATATGTATTCGATTACAAATACTTGCGGTAAAGTAATCTGGCAGCCATGTTTGGTGTTTTTACCACTTCCCGAATTCAGTACACGAACACCCAGAATGCGCTGTTCCCCTATGCAACTTAGATACTCAATCGTTATAACGCAAACAACGGTGGGTGGCAGACGGTCGCTGAATGGGGTAGGCCAAAAGGTCATCAGTTTGCCTTCTCGTTCTGTTTTCACAATGAAAATCGAGCGAATGTTGTAAATGCGGCTAAAATTTTAATTTTTCTTCGAGTTTACATGCAATCTGCTAATATATTTATTTTCTGTACATATACATTTCGTTCATATTTACTTCCTTCTTTCGTGATCGGAATACGATTATTAAAAATACAGCTGTAATTTGAAACCACTGTAGTTGCGTATTGTGAGTGTGGGCGACAATGAATTCAGGCGATTGACACATTGCCATGAATACACTTGATAACTGCTTGCAGACTTCCAGTGGTCATTGTTTATGTTTGGACTCTTGAAACAATAGCAAAATAAAGGGTTGGGCAACTACTCTTTTGTTTAGGCTTGGGAAAAACAATGCAAGCTTTTTGCAAATAATTTTCAGCCTGATGTACATTGGGGGGGGGGGGGTTGAGAGTAACTAGGCGACCGTAAAACTTGATGGGCGAGCCACCCACCTAAAACCCCTTGTAGAGAACAAGGCATGGAACCAGTATTGATCACTTCACCTATCAACAACCTTGTTTCTTGAATATTAAATTTTTGTTGGTGTTTTTAAAATTCCAGCAACACAAATGTAGATTTGTGGGGTATATATTTTTTGTATGGGGATATCTACAAGGACAACTAATATCAATATAAATAATATAAATTGATACGATGAGACAGTTTATTTGCATAATTGTCAGTGGTCAGGTATAACGTTTATTATATAATCTATTAGTTTCAGCTGCCC